TTTGTTGTAAGAGGGCGCAAGTAGCTACAAGTAGTGCAGTGGGCCTTTAAATTACAATATTTATTTCCTGAGTATGGTCTCTGGTCGGCCAAAATTAAAAAATATTTATATGAAGTTTGAGGCAAGTAGACATAATATATTTCTAATGAAATTAGAATCAACCAAGTTCAGATTAGTTTGACTTAAATAGGGGTGCAGCCTCCGTGCGCCCCTCGTACGCCTATTGTGTAGATAATTGACATCAACGGTTTACGAAGTACATGAAACCCATGCCGGAAAAAACAACCACTTGTCAGACGGCTAAAATAATGAAGGAAGTGAAATCTACTGGTATAAAATATTGGCAATAGCGTACTTCTAGTCGGGTTATTAAGTCCGATAAGAGCGAATTTAGGCTTTGAAATAGAGAGCGATACCTGGAGACGGAAACTGAAGAGATTCTATAAAAATATGACCATATGCGTAATCGGGTCAAACTGATTCTAAAAACATAACAACGGTTTAAACCTTTATATGTTTTTCTTATTTAAATTTTAAACCCTGCCCACCACCGATAACTTAGTGTCTTCCCCAAAGTGAGATACTACAGTTACATACTCAATCGCCTTTATGAGAGAAACGCACTCACAAAATGAATGAATTAAACTCAAAGATCTCTCTTTGAATCATAATAACCTGAATCTTAATCACGTTTTTCAAGAATTAAAAAAAAAAAATATGAACGTTTCAACCACTGACACGATCGCTTTTTCTGATGGAGAAGCTAGGGAGCCTAACTACAGGCATCTCACTCGCGTCTATGTTGGTCTTGACCTCACACGACCCAAAACATCGAAATTGGTATATCCCCCCCCCCCTCCCCCGTCTCTCTCTCTCTCTCTCTCTCTCTTTCTCTATTTCTGTCTCTCTACCTCTCTCTCGATCTCAATCTATATGTTTATCTTTCTCTCTCTCCCTCTGTCCCTTAAACACTCTCTTTTTATTTCTCGCTTTCTCTCTCTCTCTCTCTCTCTCTATTATTATTATTACCCTACCTCCGCCCCTCCCCTTCCCTCCGTCACTCGCTCTCCGTGAGTGGTAATGACCCTTTAAATGGCAGATGTTATAAGGTCAGATGTCAACAACGTTTCTTGTTTTCATTTCTAACCCCAGGGAGAAAATGCTAGCCTAGATCCCATACGATACCAAATTTTCTTGGTTTTTTTTCTTTCATATTTGATTTTTTTGTTTGTTTCCTTCTCACTTTCACAGCCTGTTGCACTGTTTACCTAACCTGATTCATAGGTAATAACATTGCACGTAAGGGTTTACCCGGTGCTGGTAATGGTGGTGAGAATTACAGGAAATAAGATTAGAGGCAATAAGAATTGTTAGTTCAATTCTTTGTATAGCAAGGCATGATATAAGAAAGCCTATAAATTGCAAAACAAATCAATAATAAGGGGGATGAAAGAAAGTTCGTTTTCATTTTCTGTAACTAAATAATTTCGCATTACAAGACAACAACAAAACAAAGTCAAAGATACTCCTCAGCTAATTTTCTGTTAAATCATTACGTTTATCTTTGTGATTATCTTGTCATTGTTTATATAATGTGGAAGCTGAAATAAATTCGCTCTGCATTAGGCGACTACTACTACTAAACACAGCTGAAACACAGAAGACTCGATTTAAGCGAGGTTTGCATCATACCAGTCCCCCACCTTATAAAGAGTTGATAAAATTATTGTAATCGCAACTTATTTGCGATTGACTATGTAAGGGATATGAGATGTACTGCAAACATGAGATTGATTTTGGATCAATTGCAACTCTCTATAAGACAGGGATAAGGCCTTAATTGCTTCCCTTCAAGAATCAGTAATCGAGTTTAGTCTTCCTACTCCAGAGTCGCACAGTTTTATTCCCACTAGGGGGCACCCCCCCCCCCGGTTCGATGCGAGATTGAGAGAAATTATTTTTCGTTTAAATCAGCAGGATGCCTTAAAGGTATAGACCAGTTTTGGAAACGCCCTCCTCTCAAAAAATGAAATGGAAGCTCTTATTACCAATCATGACTTTGTGAAAGAATATGTTCTGACTAATTATACAAATTTTGACGGGAAACCGCCTACTTATAAATTATCATATCGATCCGGCCTGGATAGATATCGCGAATGCACTTCAACATTTAACATTCAGGTATATATTTCTGCTTTTTGTGAACTTAGGTTGAAGTATTGCCATCTAAACCTCTGAAGGCAATATTTAAACAATATTGAATGGATATTTTGCACTCAAAACCCTTGGACCGCAACTTTTTACCACTACCGGTCTATATCTTCTAAATGTTTAAGTACGGGTCTTGTACAACGTCTAGGATAGACTCGTGGCACTATTTTGTAAACTACATGGACTACAATCACAAGCGGTGAAGTGTATGTCAATAACACTTGTTTGACTTCGAGGTATATCTTACCGTGGACCTTACCATGCAAGGTATCATCCGCTGTAATATAAA